GCAGCAGCATGGAGGCCCCAGGTGTGGAGGCCCCAGGTGTGGCGGCGGCGCGCGCACCTGGGGGCAGCCCGGGGGCGCCTGGGCCCGGGGACCCCGCGGGAGAGGCCGCGTCGTTCATCTGGGTGGAGAGGGTGACCCTGGCCGAGGACTGGGAGCTGGTCACGGAGGGACCGGAAGGGCCCACGGCCGAGCCCGCGGCGGAGGGAGTCGTGGAGGCCGGGCAGGTGGAGAGGACAGGAGAGGGGGCGGGGGGCAAGGCGGCTCCGGGGCCGGCGGGGGAGCCGGAAGCTGGGGCGGCCGCCGAGCCAGGGCCAGGGGGAGGCGGGGAAGAAGGCGCCCACGGGGAACGGGGCGAGGGGCCCCCGGGAGCAGACGCAGCCGCGAGACCAGAGGCCGAGGCCCACGCGCAGGGAGAGCAGGAACAGGGCAGAGGGGAGGCGGCAGGGGAGAAGGAAGTAGAGGGGACCCCGGCGGCCGGAGGGAAGGCAGGTGACGGACCCCTGGATGGGGACAGGAAGGGAAATGAACCCCTGGATGGGGAGAGGAGGGAAAGTGAACCCCTGGATGGGGAGGGGAGGGGAAGCGAACCCCTGGATGGAGAGATACAGGGAAGTGAACCCCTGGATGGGGAGAGGAAAGGAAGTGAACCCCTAAATGGAGAGATACAGGGAAGTGAACCCCTGGATGGAGAGATACAGGGAAGTGAACCCCTGGATGGGGAGAGGAAAGGAAGTGAACCCCTGGATGGAGAGATACAGGGAAGTGAACCCCTGGATGGAGAGATACAGGGAAGTGAACCCCTGGATGGGGAGAGGAGGAGAAGCGAACCCCTAGATGGGGAGAGGAGGGAAAGTGAGCCCCTGGATGGGGAGAGCGGAGGTATGGAGGAGAAGCCCCCAGAGGCCCGGGAGAAGCCGAGTTCAGGGGGGTCCGGGGAGAGCGCAGCGCCCCCGGCAGAGGAGGGGGGTGTCCAGCCTGAGGAGGCCCCGGAGGAGCCAGGACTGCGGCCCGGGGTCAGGCCCGAGGGCTTCCCGGAGCAGGAAGCTGGGAAGGCCGAGGCCCCGGCCGAAGGCCCCGCAGGGGAGGCCGTCCCTCTCCCGACAGAGACCCCGGCCCCGCCGCCGCCCCCCGAGAGCCAGCCTCTGCTCCCGCGGGAGAGGCCCAGCGCCCACCCCGCGCCCACCTACGCCCCTGCCCGGCAGCCGGCGCCCGCCGAGGGCGGGGAGGCCAACGGCCCCAAGCAAAAGACGTGTCAGTGTTGCGCCGTGATGTGAGCCACGCCGCCCCACGCGCACTCAGCTACCTCGCCGCCCGGCACCCAGGCTGCCACCCGCTCCCGGCTCCGCGCCCACCGCCTGCGGCCTGGCCCCTCCTGCAACCCAGTCTTTATACTTGAAAATAAAAAGGTTAAAGCACCAGCAGCTTGGCTCTGTGCCCAGCGCTGCCCAATCTGCTAGGAAACTGAGGGAGAGCAGAATTCCGCTAGCCAGCGCGCACCGTGATCAGGAGGCTGCTGGGTGGGGTGGTACACGCCTGTAATCTCAGCTACTCAAGAGGTGGAAGGAAGATCCCAAGTCAGCCTTGGAAAAGTTGGTGAGATTCTGTCTCATAAACTAAAGCCAGGGCGCCGGAGGCTCACGCCTGTCATCCCAGCTACTCAGGAGGCTGAGATCTGAGGATCCCAGTTCAAAGTCAGCCCAGACAGGAAAGTCTGTGAGACTCTTATCTCCAATAAACCACCAGAAAACCGATAGTGGTGCCGTAGCTCAAGTGGGAGAGCGCTGGCCTTGAGCTGAAGAGCTGAGGGACAGCGCCCAGGCCCAGAGTTCAAGCCCCACCACTAAAAAAGGTTAAAGAGACTCCATCTCAGACAATGGCTGGGCACCAGGGTGTACGCCTGTAATCCCAGCTCCAGTGGAAACACAAAGTCTAAGTGGCACAGTGTTGGGAGTCAGAGAATATCAATTGTATCCATTCCATTGCTGTAACAAAAAGATACCTAGTTACAATGGCTACTAAAATACAAAAGTTTATTAGGGCTTCCTTCCTGTTCTGCAGGGAGGGGGGTGTGCCAGGCACTGATCCTGGTCACCGCCCAGGGATTCAGGCTTGTTTCCATTTCTGGGTCTGGCTCGGTTCCCTGAGGTCTCCACAGTGGGGGCTTGGCACATAGGAAGAGTGTGCAGGTCTCCCCCCCCATCACTTCTCCACTTTGTGGAGACCTTAGTCCAAGGCATAGCTGCAAGGGAGGCGGGCATTCTGTCTCATGGACACCCAGGGGGCCTTGGAGGCCACTGGTGGGGGGTGAGGGTGGGGGGAGGCTCAGGCCAGCACCGGGGCCCTGGGGGTCCTCAGAAGGCCCAGCTCCTCGGGTGTAGGCAGGAAATGCTTCTCGTACCCTGAGTGAAGTGGGGCGGAGGTCTTGGGGGGCTTCCCGATGGGTGGGGGCTCCACCTCTTCCACCTCCAGGATGGGCAAGTCCTGGGGGGGCTGCGGCTGGAACACCTCCTGGAGGGAGAAGCTGCTGTAACCCGGCCTCCCCCAGGATCCCCGTAACCACCCCGTACCCCCCTTCCCTGACAAGACTCTGGCAGCCCACCTTCTTGCTTACCTCTATGGGGCCTTGGCTAGAATGGCTGTTGGCAGGATCTGGAACCTTCTCCCAGACCCACTGGGGCAATATCTTGTGTCGCAAGTGGAGGCACCTGCTGGGGAGGTGCGAGTCAGGGCCCCAGAAGACACCCTGAGACCCGAGACCGTCCCACAGCTCCGAGGCTGCCCATCAGCTCAGAGGATGCCCCCACACACACCTGCACAGACAGACGGACAGACAGCCTCACCTACTGGAGGCGGCCAGGCTCAGGCCGCAGCCCAACAGGAGCAAAGCCCACAGGGAGAGGACGCTGGGCAGCACTTTGCACTTGAGGGTGTTATCTGCAGGGGCGGGAGGGGGGAGGGCTGCACACCAGGCAGGGAGGGGAGCGACCCGTGGGAAGTGGGTGTGGCTTGTGGGTGGGCGGGGCTAGGGTGATGACTTGGAACAGGGCGGGATTTGTGAGTAGAGGGGAAAAGTGTGAGAAGGGGCGGGACTTGGGAATGGATGTGACTAAGGCCGAAGGCAATCTTCGAGGGGGCGTGGCTTTGGGTGGGTGTGGCCACAGTGAGAACTCACGAAGGGGCGTGGTCTGCTAACGGGAGGGGCTAAGAGTACAATCATCTTGGGTCAGGGTGGGGCTCTGAGGGGTGAGAGAGGAACCCACCTCTGGGCTGGGGAAGGGGGCGTGGCTGCTGGTGGGCGGAGCTAAACAGGGTGAATCTTGGAATGGGGCGGGGTTTGTGCGCAGAAGGAATCATGCATAGGGGCGTGGCTTGCCAGTGGGGGTGGGGACTCTTGGGAAGGGTGAGGCAATCTGGGGAGGGCGTGGCTTGTGGGAACTGGTGGGGGCGTGGCTCGTGGGCGGGGCCAAGGGTGGGGAAATCTTGAAGGTGATCAAGGGCAGAGATGGAGCCAGACTCACTGCTACACAAAACCCGCAGCATGGAAAGGAAATTCTGGCGAGGCAGGCTGGGAGGCAGTGTTCAGCAAGCTGGAGGCCCTGGCCTCCGTCTCCAGCTCAGCCATCCAAACGGATGCGCCCTGCGGCCCTCCAAGGGAGCCCCCAGTCCCTCCCCAGCCTCTCTACCTGGCAGGTGAAGGCGGAGGCTGGGCCCAGGTGGGCCCTGTCCGCCGCTGGTGGATGCGGTCACCCACAGCTCGCAGGGACACCAGGGAAGGTCAGGAAGAGTGACAGTCTGGGTGCTGCTGCTCACTGAAGGACACAAGCAGAGAGGAGGGGGAATGTGCTGAAATCCTGCCACAGGGCCTTTGCCCCTCCTGGCCACTGGCACTGCGCTCAGAGTCTTCATTCCAATGGGAGTCCATCCCACTCACAGCCAAGAGAGCCACTGCGTTCTGGGGAACGTTCTGTGGCTCCTGAGGCCCCGAGGGAGACAAGGGTCAGCCGGTGGGGTCCGCGGGTGGGGTCCGCGGGTGGGCTGGGCAGCGCTTACCGTTCCTGCAGAAGGGGGCGCTGGTCCGGCTCTGCACACACAAGGTGTAATGGGTGAGGTGACCCCGGAGCAGGGATCTCGGGACCTCTCCCCATGCTACAGCGGGGATCCCCGGGGGGTCATCTCGGAGCCGCCAAAGTGCCGGGCCCACTCGCGGTGCTGGAGGGAAGAGCTGGGTCAGTCAGGTGCTGCCCCCCCTCCCCCAGCCCATCCTCCAAACCCTGCTTACCTCGTTCCTCTCTGAACCCCCAGACCACAGGGGCAGGGGCCAAGCCCACTGGGGAGACAGCTGTCACCCTGATCTGGTAGGGGACCCCTCCTTCGAACTCCCCTGCTTGGTGGAGAAAGGCAAAACCTCTCAGAGATGAACCCCGCCCCCCCGTCACTTCCTGCACGCCCGGGTCCCCCACAGGACACCCAGGACAAAGCTTGGGGTGTGTAAGTCATTTATTTCCACGTTGGAGGTGACCCCTGGAAAAAGCAGTACAGTTAAGCAATGAGTCAGGGAGGGGCTGGGAAGGCGGCTCAGCGGTAGAGTGCTCGCCTGGCATGCGCCAAGCCCTGGGTTCCATTCCTCAGCACCACAAAGAGCTGGAAGTGGCGCTGTGGCTGAAGTGATAGAGCGCTAGCCTTGAGCAGAAGAAGCTCAGGGACAGTGCCCAGGCCATGAGTTCAAGCCTAGGATTGACCAGAAAAATTTTAAAACAGAGAGAGAGGAAAAAAGAAAGAAATTAAGATTTCATGGACCCCCCATACTTGCTCTTATTTATTCCTTTTATTTATTTTATTTATTTACTCATTTTTTTGTCAGCCATGGGCTTGAACTCTGGGCCTGGACGCTGTCCCTCAGCTCTTCAGCTCAAGGCTAGTGCTCTACCACTTGAGCCACAGCACCACTTCCAGCAGTGCTGAGGAATGGAACCCAGGGCCTCATGCATGAAAGGCAAGCGCTCTATCACTGGGCCACCTTCCCAGCCCCCAGTTCTGGCTTTCTGGTGGTTTATTGGAGATAAAAGTCTCATGGACTTTTCTGCTCCGGCTGGTTTAAACCATGATCCTCAGATCTCAGCCTCCTAAGTAGTTAGGATTACAGGTGTGAGCCACCAGCACCTGGCTTATTATTTGTGTGTATGTGTGTGTGTGTGTGTGTGTGTGCCAATCCTGGGCCTTGAACTCATAGTCTGAGTGCTGAACTTGGTTGGGTTTAAAAAAAAATATTCAAGCTGGGCACCGGTGGCTCATGCCTAGCTACTCAGGGGGCTGAGATCTGGGATTGTGGTTCAAAGCCAGCCCAGGCAGCAAAGTCTGTGAGACTCTTATCGCCAATGAACCATCAGAAAACCAGAAGTGGTGCTGTGGTTCAAGTGATAGAGCACTAGTTAGTCTTGGACTGAAGAGCTGAGGGACAGCACATAGGCCCAGAGTTCGAGACTCAGTGGCGCTGTAGCTCAAGTGGTAGAGCGCTCGCCTTGAGCTGGAGAGCTGAGGGACAGCGCCCAGGCCCAGAGTTCAAGCCCCACGACCGACAAAAAAAAAGAAAAAAAAACAGAGTTCGAGACTCATGACTATCCAAAAAAAAAAAAAATCATTTTCTGCTCTCGCACTACATCACAGCTCCATTTCGGGTTTTCCATTGGTGCACAGACTTTCCTACCAGGCAGGGCTGGCTTCAAATTTCCATCCTCAGATCTCAGCCTCCTGAGTAGCTTAGATTACAGGAGGGAGCCACCCAGCCCCAGCTTTCACGCCGCACTTAGGACCCACGCGGCACCCTGTGATCAGCCCCTCTGTCCTGGGGTCCCACCACGGCCCCCTGCCAGCATAGAGCCAGCGTCATGGGCAGAGCAAACCTCTGTTCTTTGTACTCAATGCCTCGGGCGTTTTGTTACAGCAATGGAAAGTGAGCTAAGGCCCTCCTGGAGGGACCGAGGCCTCACCTGGCAGCACAGCGCGGCGGTTCCTGGGGGAGCACCGGATCCAGCTGAGGGTCTCCTGAGGGTCACCGTCTCTTGTCCAGTCCACCACAAACGCAGACACCTCCCCGGTTCCTGGTTCCCAGGTCACCAGCAGCTCCCTGCCCCCGGCAAGGCCTCTGACCTGCACGCCACGAGGGGCAGACTCCGCAGCTAGAAGGGAGGGGGGGAAAGCCTCGGCTGCCGCAGCGTGGTGCCCTTCCCCCCTCCAGGAGTTCATGATCTTTTTTTTATTTTTGTATGTATGTGCCAGTGCCAGGACTTGAACTCAGAGCCTGGGCGCTGTCCCTGAGCTTTTTATGCTCAAGGCTCGCGCTCTACCACTTTGAGCCACAGCGCCACTTTTCATTTTCT